GTGTGTGTGTGTGTGTGTGTGTGTGTGTGTACCGGGGTGCCAAAAAATGTATACACATGACTTGTATTCATCTTTTGTTATTGGTATATATTATTACAATTTTAATACTTTCTTAAAATGTGTATACATTTTTTGGCACCCTCTGTATATTACATATATATTTATATCTTGCTAATGAAGTGATCCTTTTCTCATTATAAAATGTCCCTATTAATCTCTAGCAACATTTTTTCTATTTTAAAGTATATGTTATACCTTTTTTTTAAGATTTTTATTGGGGAATTGGGATGGGAACAGTGCTGGGGAGTTGGGGGAAGGGGAACAGACAAGTTGCTGTAGTCTTGTTCCTCAGTTTAGTTGTGGAGGACGTTGCTTCATTGGCCCAAGTTGGCACCATCATTGCGCTCTTCCCAGGCGAGGAACATCAGTCGCCAGCTTCTGGACGGCCGCTCACTGCGGCTGCTGGCCGCTCACGCTGGCTGCTGGCCGCTCATGCTGGTAGCCCGTGGCAACCCACTACAGCAGGGGCTGCAGCCTATGCCGTCACCGGCGACTCACAACAACCCAGCTCCAGGTTGAGCTGTTGTTCAGGATCTTAGCTGTGGAGGGCAGTGTCACTGGCCCTCATATGTGGGATCTGAACCGGGGCCCTCTGGCGTCCCAAGCCAGGTCTTAACCATTGCGCCACTCGGCCGGCCCATATACTTTTTGATAATAGTATAGCCACTCCAGTTTCTTGTGGTTGCTGTTTGCATGATATACCTTTTTCCATCTTTTTACTTTCTACTTGTAACTTTGCATCCAAACTATATCTCCTGTTAACAGCATATAAACTGGATCTTGTTTTTTCATTTAGTGTGACAATTTCTGCCTTTTGATTGGATTGATAGACGCATTCATATTTGATGGTGGCATTGATGTTGCTGGGTTCATGTCTGCTATTTTAGTTTTTGGTTTTTATGTGACTCATGTCTTTTTTTGTTCCACTATTCCTCCTTAATTGCTTTGTTTACATTAAGTAATGTTTGCTAATGAGACATTTAAATGTAATGATCTTTTTACAATTTTATAAATTTTTAAAGTTATTTCCTTAGTGGTTTCTCTAGGGCAGCAGTTCTCAACCTTCCTAATGCCACGACCCCTTAATACAGTTCCTCATGTTGTGGTGACCCCCAACCATAAAATTATTTTCGTTGCTACTCTATAACTGTAATTTTGCTACTGTTATGAATCGTAATGTAAATATCTTTTTGTTTTCCGATGGTCTTAGGCGACCCCTGTGAAAGGGTCATTCGACCCCCAAAGGGTTCACGACCCACAGGTTGAGAACCGCTGCTCTAGGGCTTACCACATACATTCTGACTTACCAGAAATAGTTTCAGACTTATACTCAATTCCAGTGAGATATGGAAATGTTACTCCTATGTCATTCTATTTCCTTTCCTCCTTTTTGTGGCATTATTGTTATACATATTATCCCATTAATGTTATAAATCCCAAAATACATTGTTATAAGTCATTTCTTTACTCCAGTACAGCTTTTCTCATATCTATCTCCTTTGTGCTGTTACTGGGCAAATGTATTACATTTCTATATGCTGTGGGCCCAATAATATACATGTTATTATATGTATGATATATATATATATATGTGTGTATATATATATACATACACATATAACATACATGTATGTATAACATACAGGAGATACAGTTTGGATGCAGAGATACAAGTAGAAAGTCAAAATACACATAAATGTACAATAACATACATATATTAGTATGTACAATATGCATTTCATTTTATACAAGTGTTTTTAAAATCAGTTAAAAGGAGAAAATATACTGACTGGTATGCAATTATACAATGTTTTAAGACTACATTAATTACCTGTACCAGTGTTCTTTGTTTGTGTGGATTCAAATTATTGTCTGGAGTCACTTTGCTTTCCCTGAAAAGCTTCCTTTTGTATTTCTTGTAAGACAGATCTACTAGCAACAAATTCTCTTCGCTTTTGTTTATCTGGGAAAGTCTTTCTTTCTCTTTCATTTTTGAAACATAGCTTTGCTGGATATAGGAGTTTTTGCAACAGTCTTTCTCTTTGAGCAATTTAAGTATGTTATTCCACTGCCTTCTGGCCTCCACCATTTCAGCTGAGTCAGCCACTACCTTATGTGGGTCCCTAGTAAGTGACAAGTCATTTAGTTCTTTTGACTGCTTTCAAGATTTTCTCCTTGTCTTTGATTTTCACTGTTTTTACTAGGATGTGTCTGTTAGTGGATCGCTTTATGTTTATCCTACTTGGAGTTTGTTGACCTTCCTTGATGTATAGGTTATTGTTTTTCAATAAATTTTGAAAGTTTTCTGGTATTATTTCTTCAAATATTTTTTTCTGCTCCCTTCTCTCTCTTCTCTCCCTCTGGTACTTCCATTAAGCATATGTTGGTATACTTAATGGTGTTCCACATTTTTCTGAGACTTCAGTTTTCTTCAAGTTTTTTCTTCTCTGTTTTTCAGACTGAATAACCTATCAGTCTGTCTTTACATTCACTGATACTTTCTTCCGACATTTCTAATCTACTGTTGAGCCCCTCTAGTGAGATTTTCATTTGCTATTACAATTCTCAGAATTTCCAGAATTTCTATTTTGTTCTTTTTTATAATTTCTATTTTTAATTTGATATTCTTTATTTGATGTGATATTGTCTTCATACTTTCTTTTACTTCTTTAATCATGATTTACTTCAATGAAGTAAATTACTTTAAGTTTTTTCTTGCTAAATCTGAGATCTGGTTGCAATCACAAGCAGTTTCTGTTGACGGTTTTTGTCCAGTGGGGTGATACTTTCCTGTTTCTTTGCATGTCTCATTGTTTTTAGAAATGGGACATTTTAGATAACATGAGGTGTTATAAAAAAATATGGTGAATGCTGCTGCTGGGTGCCATCCAACAGAAAAGCAGGGATCTTTAACACAGGAAGCAGCATGTCGAACCTTAGTAACAGTGTGTGACAACTTTCAACTTATTTGGTGTAGTCAGTCGGCTGTGAGCTACGGGTGAGAGAAGGTGTGTTTTAAAGTGTGCTGTAAATCATGGATCATGAACAACACATTAACATGAAATGGGCAAAGGTTTCATCCTCCATCATGACAATGCTCCCTGTCACACATCACTTCTGGTATATGGCAATTTCTGTCAAATAAAAACATTAAGGTGTGTCCTCATCCACCTTACTCACCAGATAGGGTACCGTGTGACTTCTGGCTCTTCCTCATAGTCAAAATGATTCAGAACATCGAGGCAGCCACGACAGTGCAACTAAAGACACTCGCATAAGGGGACTTCTAGAATTGCTTTAGAAAGTGGCAAGAACAATGGGATAAGCGTGTTCAAAGTCAGGGGGAGTCTTCTGAGGGGGATTAATGGTAATGTGTCTTTTACTGTAATAAATTTTTTTTTCAATTTAAACATTCACTGTATTTGTTGATCTCACCTCGTATATGTGTATAGTAGCAACTCTGGGTACTAGCTGCCCCCTCACCAGAGGGCTTGTTTTTTGCTTGTTTAGTTTAGTGTCTGGCTGGATGGCTGGAGCTGGCCCCTCTGATGTTGCTTCTCAGGGAAGCAGTGTGGGCATGCCCATAGTCACTGGGACAATAGTTCTGGCAGCTCTCTTGGTCTCTTTCCCTGACCATATCAAGGTGTTAAGCTCTACTAACTGCCAGCTGATTGCTTACTGTTTTCAAGAATACCTTGGGACGTAAATTGTTCTAGATAATATTACAAGGAAATTTGGGCTCCTCGCACATTGCCTTAGCCCATATCCCCTGTGCCATACATAGCTATCCATGGGGCAACACTTTCAGCCACTTCAGAAAGTGTCAGGAAGCCCCAAAATTTTCATAGAACACTTCTGTAATACAGGGCCCAGAGGATGGGGCCATATTCACTCTCTGCAAAGTAAAAGGGCCTCATTTAGATAATAAGAAGAAGAATCTCTGCTATCATTTGAAATAACTGAGAGCTGACAGTTTATGAAATAAAATTATTATATAATTACAGCTTTTGGGTTTTTGCTTCAAATTCAGATTTTTTTTACTGATTACATCATGACTCTATTATATGACTCTCCTCATTGCTCCAATCTAGTTTCATTTTTTTTGCCCAATTTAAAACATCAGTACCACCCAAAACTAACATGCTGGATAAAAAAATTACTCTATTAATAATTCATTTTGTGACATTAAAAAAAACTTATCTAGTTTTTCCTCTGTCTCTTTAGAAATACCCATATACAAGACAACTATTTCTTAGATAAAAGTTTAACTACTTGTGTCACAAAGAATGAAATGTCTAAACAGTAAGTAAATGCATGGCAGATGATAAAAAGAATGATGATAATTAAAACAAAGAAAGCCTGTTACTAATTCTGAAAAGCAGGAGTTTTTCGGCTCTAATATATATATTTTTAAAATTAAACACATAAAACAACTCACGTTTCATGTGTTCAAACATCACCGAGAAGAGGAAGTCCCGTGGTGTCATGTAAAACTCTCCCCCGTGCTCCAGTGACGAAAACTGCATGAAGCGCTGCTTACGGAGAGACAACTTCCCTGTCACGTCTCTACCATGACCGCTTTTCTGAAAGAAAAGAAATCACAACTTAAGATGTCTTTCAGTATTATTATTCCCCAACTTGGCTACTTCTAGAATAATCTTTAAAGAGTGATTTTAGTGTTTAGGTCTGACAACCTGCAAATTTTCCAGTAACTCATTTAACATTATTCATTGGGTGCCTGCTCTGAGAGCAAAGGAACTGTATACAGCAGTGGCTCAGACGAACTGGGGGCAGCTTACGTTCCCAAATGGGAGAATGACAATTAATTAACAAATGGGTAAAATCGTGTGAGGTAATGAGAAATGCCAAGAAGAATTCTGAATCAGGATAAGAAACTGATAGGGAGTAATGCTTTAGACAGGACAATCAGGGAAGGCCTTTCTAAAGAGGTGACCTGTAAGGAGACTGAGGTCCAGCTGGTGAGCCAAGGGGCTCTTGGCAGGAAGAGCCAGAGATAAAGTAAGAAAAAAGACCAGGAGATGGAATGAGCATGGTGTGTTGAAGGAATAGCATGGCAGGAGACAAGATCAGAGAGATAGGTAGGCAACAGAACACGTAGTTGTGCTTTCATAAAGATAAAACATGTCATGTCTAATAAAGAGCTCTGCTTTTAGAAATATAATTATATCCTGGGTGAAAAGTGCTAAAAGAACAAGAATGGCAAAGTACTGTTAGTGTAAGGGTCTTGTATCCCAGGCAACAGGGCCTAGATCTTGACCCAATGCTGAGAATAAACACTGAAGTATTTATTGCTGACCTTTCGTTGAGCACTTGCTACGTGCCAGGCACTGTGCTAATTAATGAAGTAAGTCGCACGGATTTAGTTAACCCTCACAATACCTGGCCAGTAGATACTACATCAGAGAGGAGCCAGGAGAGAACACCGGGGGTGCCCAACTCAGTGTCTGTCTCTTACCTATTACACTGTCCTACTCAAGGCTGGGCACTGCGCCCTAGGCAGACACTGGTTTCCACCGAGGTCAGTGCAGCAATCTTGACCCAGTCTGAGTGTGCCTGTGAGAGCCAAGAGCCTGCACTCCCCCCTGGACTGCTTTATTTAAGGCACTGCCCTAACGCGACCACATCCTTCCTTGGACATACCACTCCCCTTTCACACTCGCTGGTCCTGTCATTTACCCTGACACACAGCTGATGTTCAGTGAGTGCTGACTAGGACTGAAATGGGGAAAAATACGAATTTCAGTCGCTCAGAGCTGTCCGGACTGAAAGCCGCCAACAACTCCTTTTTGGCGGATCTCAGCCCTCTGGCTAGTCTTAACTCCCTCTCCTCCTGTGACAGCTGGCTTCCTTGAGCAGCTCAGCCTGTGCCCAGTATGTGTCCTGTCCACTGCCTACCAGAACACGGGCCCCACACAGACACTATGCTGCGCAGTGATTGTGCCCTGTGCTCTCTACAGCTTGTCTTTCTTTCCCTTCTGTTCCCTTAAATTACTACTATAAAAACCACTCAAGAGCCATGTTTTAATTACATGAGTCATCAGAAAGTTGAATTTTATTATACTTTCTGAACATTTTATACACGAGGCAGATATAATTGTATTTGACAAGTCAATAGTAAGTATCTATAGGAAAGCAGTGTTAAACAAAATGGATATACATTCCCACCAGAGTGTACTACGAGCTCCAGCAGTGAATTTCCACAAAGTATACGGATGGGACAGGGAAGGGGGTGGGTAAGGGTCGTCTCAGTGTATGTCACAGCGCCGAAGTCCTGGAAGTGACAGAACACTGTGTATCTGAACTGAAAGAAGCTGAAAATGGGCATCCACGTGTTAGTTTAGTGAGTGTTTATCTTTATTATGCTAATGTTAATATATCATCTATTAAGAGATTAACAAAAGCAAATCATCTATATAGAGATATAGTATATTTCCAAATCCTTAAACAAACGTTGGCTCTTTTTTATTTCCTAACATCTAAGTTGTTCTTGACTGGTTAAAAAAAATTACCTTTACCAATAATTTAATCATTTTCATAAAAATAAACAAATTCTTTCCAAACTGTAACCAACTACAAAGGATCAATTATTTATCCTCAACTGGTCTCATAACAAGCCAATTAAAATACATTTTGGGGCCGGCCGAGTGGCGCGATGGTTAAGAGCTGGCTTGGGACGCCAGAGGGCCCCGGTTCGGATCCCACATATGAGGGCCAGTGACACTGCCCAACACAGCTAAGATGCTGAACAACAGCTCAACCTGGAGCTGGGCTGCCGTGAGTCACTGGCGTTGTGTAGGCTGCAGCCCCTGTGGCAGTGGGTTGCCATGAGCTACCGTGTGTGGCCAGCAGCCAGCGTGAGCGGCCAGCAGTCGCAGTGAGCAGCCGTCCAGAAGCCGGCGACTGATCTGCCTCACCCAGGAAGAGCGCAATGATAGTGCCAACTTGGGCCAGTGAAGCAACGTCCTCCACAACTAGACTGAAAAACAAAAGGATAGCAACTTGTCTGTTCCCCTTTCCCCAATTCCCCAGCGCTGTTCCCATTCCCCAATTTCCCAATAAAAATCTTAAAAAAAAAAACATTTTGTACATTATATGTATTATATACTGCATTCTTACAATAACTAGAGAATAGAAAATGTTATTATTGAAATCATGTTTGCAAGTTTATTCCAATTGCTGCAAATCTCCAAAAGTTTTCTAGTATATTTATTGAAAAAAATTCGTGTATAAGTGGGCCTGTGCAGTTCAAACCTGTGCTGTTCAAGGGTCAGCTGTAGACACAGTTTGGGCTTGTTATAAATATGTTACGTACCAAATAAAATGAGACCACGGATATAAAATCCTTTCATCTTTCCAGTATTGTTAACATACACTTTTAAAAGAACTTATTTACCATAAGTGTATTCTTAGTTGTAATGTAAATCAATTGTAGGAAAAGCATCTAGACAAATAACAATTCAATATGCTGACACATACATTTGGGGATTTCAGGATGTCAAGAGAGAGATGACTATTATCTCCAAGGGCTAAATCAATTTCTTTCAAAAATAAAAAGCGTAGGGGTGGCTGGATGGCTCAGTTGGTTGGAGCGCGGGCTCTGAGCAACGGGGTTGCCGGTTCAATTCCCACATGGGCCAGTGAGCTGCGCCCTCTGCAACTGGATTGAAGACAACGACTTGAGCTGAGTTGTTGGTGGGCCGCCGGATGGCTCAGTTGGTTAAGAGTGTGTGCTCTTAACAACAAGGTTGTCAGTTTGGCTCCTGTATGGGATGGTGGGCTGCACCCCCTGCAACAAGATTGAAGATGGCGACTGAACTTGGAGCTGAGCTGTGCCCTCCACAACTAAGATTGAAGACAGCAACTTGACTTGGAGCTGATGGGTCCTAGGAAAAACACTGTTCCTCAATAAAAGTTAAAAAAAAAAAAGTATAAGGCAAGCTGTAATTTTAAGCAATTTATATATTGGGTTGTTGGAAAATTCATGACGCATTTTTGCAATGAAAAACATAGAAAAAATACGTCATGACTTTTTTGACAACCCAGTAGGATGTAAGTTTCAGTGTAAATGTTGGTGTTCATGTCTAAAATCCTTGTAGGTACCGAGGGCTGTTTCAAGGCTATGGGAGAGAATATCAGCACTGGAGGAACCTGGAATCTCCACTTATCATAGGATCTACTGTATAAACCAAGTTTTCATTTCTTTTTTCCTTTTGGATTTTTGGTTTTTACTCTCAATATATATATATAATAATCTACTTTACAGTAAAATCCGGAAGGTTTTTTTCTCTATGCCAGTTCCCCTTCCAGTCCCCCAAAGAGGTATAATGTGCCTTCCTGAGAGTTAACTCTTAATAAGATCAAAGGGTCATAAAAACCCCTATAAATCGATGAGAAAGCATTAAGGTTTTTAAAACTTACCTCCCATACCCGACAGGAACACAAAACCAAAAAGAAGCATGCACAGCCATGCTGATGCTAGCTCCTAACATCCCACTTACAACTTCTAGAAGGATCTTCCAGATAAAATTTGGGCAAACTACAAATAAGACAACACTAGGACTGAAAACTGGTTTCTGCTTCCGGGGAGAGGAGTGCCGTGTAATGGAATGAGAGGAAGGGATTCTCCACTACAGCGTCAGTTAGGGTCATCTTGCGCAGTTGTGTTCACTGTACACCACCAGGGAGCACCATTCACATGTGACCACCCACAGTTGTCTAGCAATTTGCGGTGAAGTACACAGAGGAGGGGGATCTTTTTCTAATTTGCATGAAGGTTCCACATGCGCCAGGGGCAATGCTGTCATTGACATTTCCCAATTTGCAGGGATTGTGCAAGTGGAGAAAAGGACAGTGCCCCACTGGAAGCTCCCATCATTCACTGAATTCACCACAGGCTCAGCACTTGCCATCTTCCCACCTGTGTCCTGTCAATGGCAGGACCACCCTCGGCAAGTTATGGCTCAGTTGGGCAGAGGAAAATACTAGATTCAGGACCTCGCTACCCTAAAACCTATGCACCACGTATGAGGGCATTTCTCTGAAGAGGCAGGCGCCCTCAAATGGGGAACGAAGTGAAGCCCAAAGGCCAGCCCATGGGATGGGACAAACCTGATGTGACAGTACAGGCAGAACTTCCGGAGTAGATGTAGGACGCAGACCCATTCCCAACTGCAGTCGACCATCCAGCTCTTCCTGCAATTTGTCAGGCAGCTGAGTGACTGAAAAGCTGAAATAAACTACGACCATCCTGTTCTTTAGCTAATATTCTAATGCACAGATAACAAGCACTTAGATCAAAATGGAGAGGAGACACAGATTCACACCAGTTTTTGCAAATAATCCCTGTGTGTAAAATGGGATGCTGGGCGTATGCACATAGTATGGGGAAAATTAAGGCAAGAGCAATAGGCAATAATTAACAATGAAAATCACATTCTGAAAGGAAACGAAAAAAAAAAAAAAAAAGAAAATGAAACAGGTGACAGCCTTTATAACATCAGAGAGCAAAGATAAGATGCAAGATGACAGAAATATTTGAAAAGGGAGCTGGCCTAGCTAAAGA